AATCAAAGAGAAAAAAAACAAAATCTGACCCTAAACCTTTCAGCCTCTCACACCTGGTAGTTCACATCTTCCCTTCCCTTAGCAGACTTAACGTAAAGCAACATCTTAGTGGGGCACCAACTTTTAGTTAACATTTGAACAGCAGCTGTAGATCATTTCTGTAAGCAAATAGATATTCTCACAAAAAAAAAAAAAAAAGAAAGAAAAGAAAACACCAAAAAAGAACAGAATTTTATAAATGGAGTAAGTGGGAAAAGAGGTATGCCATGCTCTCAAAAGCAAACGTGAGCTGTTAGATCACTGACTTGTGCTGTTGTATTATCTAACTGTGCTCTCCTGCTCAGGGATGTGGCTAGTGGTAGTGCAGGGCACTCAGCATCCTGCAGAAAGAGGTTTATATTTGAATCCTATAATGCAAACACGTAAGTATGTGCTTGCAGATATTGCAAGTTCCCTGCTGAATATAGATAGGCTTACTCATGTGTTTTTAATTAAACACGTGTCTAAATATTCTTCTGAATGGGCGTGAAGTAAAGAGCAATTACTTCAAGATTTTACTGTATTTTTTTAAAAAAAACATACCAGAGTAGGATTTCTGCAGAACTTAACTTTTTTTTTTCTTCCAAATAATTAATTCTTTTGAAATCATTTTGTTGTGCCAGATGCCTAAGCACAATTTCAGTTATCGTGTTGTTTTATACATGCCAGTTTCGTAACAGATTTGGCAGCATACAAAAGCGATTCAGTGAAACCCCATGATTTCATAGAAGGTTTTTCTCCAGTACAACTTCTGGCCTTCTGTTACAATATAACAAATGTAAAACTAACATGGACAAGCTAAAATGCACCCTAGGTTTGGACTAAACAGAATCTAGATCCTGTCTGCACTTCCTGAATCTTGAGTGAGTTTCTGTTCATGTATCGACAGAACAACCATACATTTGGTTGTTCTGTCGATACATGAACCTAACCAACCAGACCTATTATGAATACAGTATGTGTTTGCACACAGTAAACTGAAGCAGTAAGTGTAGTACAATTAATTATCTTTAAATGTAGTGATTATGTGCCTGCCATTTCAGAATTTCTGAAGCACTTGGCATCTCTGTTTTGTAGTCTGGTAAATAAATAAAAGCTTGTTTTTGTTTTTGTTTTTGTTTTTTCCAACACCGAACATGTTGGAGGTCATATTTAAAATTTTGCCTAGTTCTGATTTTTTTCGGTGTGGAATTGAATTTTCTACATTCATAGAGTTATTCCTTTCAGAAAGACGTTAGGTCCTTTATGAACCTGCAGTTATAGACCCAATTATGATTTTTTTTTAATACAATTTGATTGTTTTCCCATGAAAGAAAGCTGAGTTGGGAATAAGGTAATAATTACAGCACATTATATACTAGAAACTTACAAGCAATGATGTGTATATCTTTTCTTTTGGTAACATCATCTCTTCTTTTAATTGCTATTTATTATTTGTATGGTGCCATTACATTTTGTGATGCTGTTTTATAGCTGACAAAATGATGTGATTTCAGATGAATAAATACGTCAAAGTCCAAAAGTAAGTCCTCATTGCTTTTGAGAGTCATCAATTGCTATGTTTTTGTTTTGTTTTGTTTTGTTATCTTTTTTTATGTGTGTGGTTTTTTTGTTTGTTTGGGTTTCTTTTGTTTGTTTGTTTGTTTTTTCAATTACAGTTAGAGCACTCTTCTGTTCCATCCAAGTCCTTTCTGTGGATAAGATTCCAGAAAATAAAATATTCTGGGACTGCATGAAGTCTTTTTTTATATATTTCATCTAGATTTTGGAAGTTTTGACATCATCAAGCCAATCTGAAAAAGTGCATAAATCCACCCAATAGATGTAGAGTATGCTGAAGAGGTCCTCTGTTGTAAGAAAAATAATAATGACACTGTAATTAGAAAGGTAAACAGCTTGCTTGCATTTTTTTTAAACTTCATAAAATTGCATCTTTTTTACTGCAAAGGACCAATTAAGTCATGCATGTAGCTGTATTCTTGTGATAGCAACTGTAAAGATTACATTGTGTTTAAATGAAAATAACAGGCACACAATTAAAAAGAATACGAAGAAATGTAAATATATTTGATTAATAAAACATTTCTATTACCATATCCTAAGCCTTTGTTTTATGTTAAGATTACGTACGGAATTTTGTGCGTGCTATGCGGAAAACCAAATGTTTAAATATGTGCACATTGAAGGCAGCCTGAAATAATCACACTGCCTTGATGCAGTTGTCATTATGAACTTCCAAATGGGGTTTGCAGCTTGGATGTTGCAAAGTGATTTGTGGACAGAAGAGAGGGAGATCAGGTTCAGTTTTCTTGGTGACTGGATCCCAGTACTCCTGTTGACCTACTGCTGAGTCATATGCTCAAGCGATTTCTCAGCCATGTTTTGGACTTTGTACAAGTTTATGATGCAAATTGTGTCGTATTGTAACTAAGATTTTCTGTGCTGCATACTACAGCGTGTTTTTTTTATGGTTGATGGCCTGAGTCTTCTTTAGTTACCTGAATCCCGATTTACAAGGATCACCATCTAGTGGACTAAGATAGAATTTCAAAACTCCAATTGATGTGATGTCTGAGCTTATTTTTAAAAAATCATTCTAAAACCAAAGCTAAAAGCACTAACCATGCTCCACTGCAAGGGACCTTCAGTGCCTTTTTTAACATTATTTCACTGCCATTGAGTATGTCAAAGAGCAGCGATTAGTTCAGTAAGTCACTCCTTGTTCCACTTGAAAAAATACCAGTTGAGTATGAGAAAAATATGTCAGT